TTGAGACAAGCATTGTTTTCTACTAGAGTTGGTCCTTTACCTTCACATATAAATTTTAGGATTCAGTTTGCTTAGTTTCACACATACACACACTTACACATGCACACACATACCCTTGTGGGATTTTGACTGGGATGACACAAAATGTACAGGCTAATATAGGTAAAAATGAAAAGTGAAAATTACTGACTACTCAAGTTTATAACATGCGCCCATTAATGTAGGTCCTCTTTAATTCTTCTTTTTAATGTCATTTAATTTTTAAGTGAAAATTGTATATATTTAAGGTATACAGCATGATAATTTTTAAAAGTTTAAAAAATTGAAGTATAGTTGATTTACATTATTGTGTTAATTTTGGGGTACAGCAAAGTGATTCAGTTATACACATATGTTTTCAGATTATTTTCCATTATAGGTTATTGCAAGATATTGAATGCAGTTTCCTGTGCTATCCAGTAAATCCTTGTTACTTATCTATTTTATATAGAGTTGTGTGTACCCTTTTTTTTTTTTTTAGTATAGATGTGCTTTTATTTGAAACTTAGACTAATTATAAGTCTTCCACTTGTATCAGGTAGAATACTCCAGGAGAAATCACTTTTTAACATCTTTATTGGAGTATAATTGCTTTACAATGGTGTGTTAGTTTCTGCTTTATAACAAAGTGAATCAGTTATACATATACATATCTTCCCATATCTCTTCCCTCTTGCGTCTCTCTCCCTACCACCCTCCCTATCCCACACCTCTAGGTGGTACAAAGCACCGAGCTGTTCTCCCTCTGCCATGCGGCTGCTGTTATAAAGCAGAAACTAACACACCATTGTAAAGCAATTATACTCCAATAAAGATGTTAAAAAAAAAAGAACTGTCAAACTGTTTTCAAAGTGTTCAATACCCTACTTTAAAAATATATGTATGTCAGGGTAAGGAGGGCAATTAGAAATGGCAATTTATAGATGAGATGATGCAAATGAGCAATGAGTCTAATAAGTCTCCTTGATATTCAGGAAAGATGCTAGTTACAATGTTGTACTATCACTGTACCAGATCAGGAAAAATTCAAATGATTGTTAACACCTAGAACTGAAGTGGTTTTAAAAAAGTGGGCACTCTCTCTCTCATACATTGCTGGTGGTGGCATAAATTGTTAAAACCTTCTTGGAGAACAACCTGGTATCACTTATTAAAAATTTGAATTGCGGGGATTTCCCTGGTGGCGCAATGGGTAAGAATCCGCCTGCCAATGCAGGGGACACGGGTTCGATCCCTGGTCCGGGAATATCCCACATGCTGCAGAGCAACTAAGCTCCACAACTACTGAGCCTGTGTGCCACAACCATTGAAGCCTGCGCGCTCTAGGGCCTGTATGCTGCAACTGCTGAGCCTGCATGCTTGCAGCTACTGACGCCCGCGCGCCTAGAGCCCGTGCTCCGAAACAAGAGAAGCCACCACGATGAGAAGCCCACGCACCGCAATGAAGAGTAGCCCCCGCTTGCAGCAACTAGAGAAAGCCTGCACGCAGCAACAAAGACCCAACGCAGCCAAAAATAAATAAATTAAATAAATAAATAAAATTTGAATTGTTCTGGCTACACTTTGACCCAGAATCGCCACGTTTGCAGATATCTCACAGGAATATTGAAGCACTGATCTGTAAAAATACATGTACAAGGATGTTTATTGTAGCATTGTTTTAAGTGGCCCAAACTGGAAAGAATGCGAATATTCACCAATAACATAATGATTGAATAGGTTATGTTGCCCCCATATTGTGAAACCTTATGAAGCAATTTTAAAAAATTAGTTGTATCTCTGTATATTGACATGGAGGCCTGATATAGTTATAAATAAAAATGTAAAAATTTAGAGTAAAATTCTAAATAAAATTCTAAATTAAAAAATGTAAAGACAAAAATTCTAGACCTAGCTACAGATGTTTGCATATGAGGATGCACACCCCAAAATTCAAGGAATTGAATTTTTTCCCAAATTTCAGCAATCATGAAAGTTATTATCTGAAATTGGTATAATGTTTCTGGAGGGCAATTTGTCAATATGCATTAAGATCTGAATGTTCATGGCCTTTGACAATGTATCATTTTAAGGATTTTTTGCCAAGAAAATAACTTAGGATGCTTGCAACAATGTAATTGTGAGAATATTCATAGCATTTTGTGCTTCTTTTTCTTTTCTCTCCTGTTTTTTTTTAAATTTTTGGCCATGCCACACGGCATGTGGGATCTTAGTTCCCTGATGGAACCCGTGCCCCCTGCAGTGGAAGCGCAGAGTCTTAACCACTGGACCGCCAGGGAAGTCCCAGCATTTTGTGCCCCTAATGGAGAGCTGTTGGGAGAAACCTCTATTCAACAATAGAGGGGTCGTTAAACTGAGGCACAGCTACACATGGAATCCTACAATGCCATGAAAAACAAATTTTGTAAGTATATTTACTTCCATGAAAGATGTCGATTATATATCGTGATGTGGAAAATTCAGGTTAGGAAACAGCATGGACAGTGTAATTACGTTTTGATTTTGTAATGCAATGAGTGTATGCATGTATATTGGAAAGAATTTGAAAATCAACACTATGAAATGCTAACGGCGATTGCCAGTGTGTGGCAGACCTTGGGAAGGCTTTGCTTTCATTTTCACTTCATTGTATTTTGTCAAAATATTTTTGTGTGTGTGGCAAGCATGTATTGCTTTTATAATAAGATTATTTTTCAATATTAAAAAATCACTGTAATCTCTGTCTTCTGCCCCTTTCCCTGTTCTAGGATGCATCTCCCTCATGGAATTGTAGCTGCAGTAGAATCTGATATTTCTTGACTCCATTATCACCTAAAGAGGTGTCCTTTTAGTCACACACTCCACTGGGGGAGAAACGCTACCCCACGCTCTGCCCTTATGTCTTGAGTGAACTGGCCACAGCGGCTCTTGGGTCTAGGGGAAGGCATGTAACACCTGCTGGCCAACTAGAGCATTGCAACCTCCACCCCCACCCCCCCACCCCCCGCCTCCCACCCAGGCCAACAACCACAATTATTGGTTCAGGGCTTGGGAAGGATGGCAGCCTGGGGATGAGAAGAACCATGGGCAAAGAGCACAGACTCAAAGTGCTCCCACACCTGGCCAGGTGGAGCTTTGAAAAGAGGAGTATTTCTGAGGAAAGAGGAAACATGAAAATTTTTGCTGGCACAAATTTTTCCAAACAATTGGAACAAAGCTCTTCCGTTTCCCAGATCATATCTGGCATCCTGCTTTTGTCACTTAGCAATGTATCTGTGAGATTTGCATATAGAGAATTTTTATGACCATTTTAAAGGGTGTCTGCTAACCATGGTTGGAATTCAGGTGGTAAAGGTCAGTCTTGAACTTTGCTTGCCACCATGCCAAACAGAAAAGAGAGATCTGGAGGGTCTCACACCAGGAATTAAATGATTTGGTCTAGAAGTGACATATTACTCATTGGCCAGTACCACTCACATGATCCCACCCATGCATAAAGAGCCTGGAAGGTAGAGAGCTGGAAACATCAGTGAAGATGAAGATAAAATGGTAATAGCTGTGTCAAAGTGATTGTGAATTTAAAATTTGTTAAAATTTGATAAATATTGGCCAATTGTTTTCCAAAAACACTGCCTCAATCTGCATTCCCACAGTAGTCTTAGAGGGTACATTGCCCCACATCCAACCAACACTGGGTTCTCTCAAAGGATTTTTTTTGGTTTAATTTGCTCTGAGCAAATTAAAAGATGCTCCACTACCAGGGGGGAGCATCTTATTACTTTGAGTTTCATTTCTTTAGTTGTGGTGGAGATTGAATATTATTCCACAGTTTGTTGGCCATTTCTATTGTCTTTTTTTGGATGAACTATTGGGTTATTTGTCTTTGTGCAAATAGTTTGGAATGGGTATCATTGTAGGTCAACTTTTGCCCATATCTTTTACTTTCTTCTCCAGGATAAATTCCCAAAGTTGAATGGATGAATGCAAGGCCATTCAGATTCTCGAGGCTTTTTGTATTTATTGGCAAACTGCCCTTCTAAAATGTACCAACATATACTCTCACAAAACACACTAGAACATGTTCATTTCCCTTGAGGCACTGTCAACACGATTTTATTTTTTTTCTTTTTGGCCGCACCACTCTGCATGTGGGATCTTAGTTCCCCGACCAGGGATGGAACTTGTGCCCCCTTCAGCGGAAGCATGGAGTCTTAACTACTGAACCACCAGGGAAGTCCCCCAACACGAATTTTTATTACTTAAAATAAAAATGAAAAATATGCTAGTATGGTAGTAAGTCATTCTATAGAAGGTCTTTCTTTGAATTTCTGTTTTCTCTTATAAAATGCATATTTATTCAATTATAAAGGTAATACAAGTTTATTGCAAAAAATTCAAATGTATAAAATAGAAAATATGAGTCCCCTGTGGTCTCATGCCTAAAAACATAGCTAATAACTCTTTGATATATATATTTTCAGATTCTTTTCTAGGTTATTAGTTATTAACATAAATAACTACTGCAATTAGTCTATTATTATTGTTTTACAAATCTTTGACATACTCTTATACTGCTTCTTTCATTTTTAACTAAACAACTTACTGTCTCCCCATGGCAGTATCTGCAAGTCTGGTTTAATCTCTTTAATGAATGCCTGTTATTTCACACTATGTATATAATGTAACATATTTAAATAATTTCACGTTGGTGGACATTGGAGTTATTTGTAAAAATTTCCAATAAAATAATGTTTATTCCAAATTTCACAGTGTTGTAATAAAAATTCTTGTGCTTAAATTTTGTATTATACTTTTTTTTACAGTGGGCAAGGAGTAAATTTCCATTTCTTGGATTACTAGAGGGCGTGCACATCTTTTTTGTAGGTTATCAGCCACTTACATGTTTCCTTCAATAGGCTTGATGTTCATGACCATTTTCCTTTTGGTTTTTCTCTCGGTGGGGGTCTTCATATTTTTCTCCTTTATTTAAAGAAGTCTTTATACGTTATGTTGCAAATATTTTCCTCCGGATTTCTATTTGCCTTTGAAAGTTGTGCACGTGTTTTGGCTACGAAAGTGTTAAAGTCAGGAGCAGGAAATGTCCGCAGCGCTGCGTGGACCTCCTTGTTCCGCAGGCAGTAGACTAGATCAGGCAGCACATGGGCGTGGCCACCGTGTAGATGACAGACAGCAACTTGTTGAGGTCAGTGGGTTCGACACGGCTGGGGCGGGAATACGTGAAGAGAACCACTGAGCAGAAGATGTCCACCACAGTCAGGTTGGGGGCGCAGGTGGAGGGGTTGCTGCCGGCAGCAGCCGAAGGCATTTGGAGCACAGCCCTCCTGATGGCCGCATATGAGGCCAGAGCAACTAGCAGAATCCTGCAAATGACGATGGCAGAGATGAAGTCGACCAGCTCCGTCAGGGTCACGTGGGTGCAGGACAGGTTGAGCAGAGGGGAGACATCACAGAAAAATTGGTTGAGGACATTGGGGCCACAGGAGGACAGGCTGGTGATGCATGATATCTTGACCACCGAGACCAACAACCCACAAAGCCATGAGGACAAAGCTAAACCCAGGCATATCTGGGGCCTCATGAGCAGCAGGTAGGGTAGTGGGTGGCAGATGGCCACATAGTGGTCATAGGCCATGGAGGCCAGGAGGGTGCACTTGGTGCCAATGAGAGATATGAATAAAAAAAGCTGAACTATGCAGGCTGTGAAGGGCACATGGCATGCACCGGACCTCAGCCCCATGAGCAAGCTGGGCATGGTCACTGACATGTAGCACATCTCCAGGCAGCTCAGGTTGCCCAGGAAGAAGTACATGGGCTTTCAGAGCTCACCATGACTGCAGACAAGGAAAATGATGCGCGTTTTCTCCAGGAGGGTGAGCAGGTAGAGAGTCAGGAAGCACAATCCTTATGCCTTGCCTGGCAGATAAACCCAGTAGGATAAACTTTTGCACTCTGGACATACTGCCCAAGTCCAGAGACCTCTCCATCTATGTAAGAAAGAAACAGCTTTGTAGAGACCATGATCCATGCAGAAATAAATTGATCAAAGGGGGAGAGCATATACAGTTAGGGCCCCTAGAGCCAATGTTACTTTGCTGTAGGTTGACTCTTGCTCTGAGCGCCAGTAAGGAGCAATTGGGAAATTGCAAAACCGGAAACGGAAAATTTAACACTATTTACTACATCTCTGATCACTGACAAGATACTCAACCTTTGTGAGCCTCCATTATCTTATCTGTAAAATGGAGGTGAAATCTATCCCCAGGAGGTCCTTAGTCCTTATGGATATTAAACATAGCAACAGACGAGAAAATGCTTTATAAAGAGAGTCATGATTATTCCTTTACTTTTTTAAAAAAATAAATTTATTTATTTTTGGCTGTGTTGGATCTTCGTTGTGGTGCATGGGCTTCTCTTTGCGGTGGTTTCTCTTTGCGGTGGCTTCTCTTGTTGTGGAGCACCGGCTGTAGGCGCGTGGGCTTCAGTAGTTGTGGCTCACAGGCTCAGTAGTTGTGGCGCACGGGCTTCATTGCTCCGTAGCATGTGGGATCTTCCCAGACCAGGGCTCAAACCAGTCCCCTGCATTGGCAGGCTGATTCTTAACCACTGCGCCACCAGGGAAGCCCCATGCACTGCTTTTTGAGCATCCCCTGCCATTCGCGAGCTTTTCCGAAGACACAGCATGACCAATCTCAAGGCAGTGCCCGTTTTCTTCCTCCGGGTTTCTCAGTGGTCCCTGAGATACAGCTGCTCAGCGCTGCTGCCTTCCTTCTGGTTTACCCGGCCGCGTTTCTGGGGAACATCTCCATCGTCGCCGCCGTGACGCTGGACGCCCGCCTGCACACGCCCATGTACTCCTTCCTCAAACACCTCTCCTTGGTGGATATCTGCTCCGTGTCCACCACCCTGCCCCGGGCCCTGGTGGCCACCCTGCTGGGCTCGGGGCAGATTTCCCTCCATGCGTACATGTCCCAACTCTGCCTTTGTCTGCCTGGAGTCCGCAGAGTGTTTTCTCATCACCTCCATGGCTTGACCATTGTCTGGCCACCTACAGGCCCCTGGTGTACGGGACAGCCATGAGGCCCTGGACCTGTGTCTCCGTGGCGGCGGCCTGGGGCAGTGGGCTCCTCTTCTCTGCCCTCCCCTAACCAACACCTTCTCCCTGCTCTTCTGCAGCCCCAACGTGATTGACCACTTCTGTGACATCCCGCCACTCATGCGCCTAGCCTGTGCCAACACAGGTGTCCATGACACTGCGGGATTTGCAGCCAGCGGTTGCGTCATCATCAGCTGCTTTAGCCTCACTGTCCTGTCCTGTGTGCGCATCTTGGCCATGGTGGTTCAGATCTGCTCAGCAGCCAGCCCCTGGAAGGCCTTCTCCAGGTGTTCCTCCCACCTGGCCACCGTCCTCCTGTTTTACGGCACTGGCAGCTCTGCCTACATGCAGCCCACCGCGCGATATTCCCCTCAGCAAGGGCGCCTAGCTGCCGTCTTCTACTGCATCCTCATGCCCACCCTAAATCCGCTTATCTACAGCCTGAAGAACAAGGACATGAAGGGATCCCTGCGGAAGCTGTATCTTCAGGTGCCACCTTAAGACATGGAGTGACCCAGAAATCCAGCCTCACAGGATTTTCCTTGTGGTCTTAGTGGAGGTGTTAATGTCTCCAGAGACCACCAGGAACACACTGGGTGGCCCAAAAAGTTGACAACAACGTTGATGCTGATTCATGCAGGAAGCCCCAGTAGGCAGCTGGATAAAATGGAGACGTGCCCAAGGTGCATTTAATTTAGGCAAATGGTACTGTACGTACACAGGGGAAGGTAGAAAGAGGAAGAGAAAAATTTAAAAAACAGTTGACTTGGTATTCACGGGCTCCACATCTGCGGATTCAACCAACCGTGGATCGTGTACTCTGTTTACAATCCCTGGTTAGTCGAACCCGTGAATGCAGAACCTGTGGGTATGGAGGGCAGACTATGGGACTTGAGCATCCCTTCTGGTATCCTGGTGGGTCCTGGAACCAATCCCCTGTGGGTACTGAACGACAACTGTGGTAAGGGGTCACTTCATCCCAAAGCCCACCAATGACCCTGTATCCTGGAGTGTGAGTCCACTAGGGGACTTTCTGCTCAGCTCATCCATTTCCATGGACCTCCCACAAGTGATCACACCTTGACCTGCTCAAAATGATTCTAATGCTTAGTGGTACACACTTTCCATCTAATATTTGTCTGAAATGCAAGTCAGTGAGTTCATCAGAAGAAGCTACTATTCTGGAAGAAAAACAGTCCATATCGTACTTGCAGAGACATGGTCTTCATGTGGCTCCTTCCTAAGAGAACATCAGGGATACATTTTTCTTTCTCTAATGTTTACCTGATAGCACTGTATTGGTTGGATTTTGGCTTCAGCTGCTTTAACAGACCAAACAACAGTGGCTTAAATAATACAGAAGGTTTTTTTTTTTTCTCTTTCCTGTAAACATGGGTGTCTCTACACCACAAAGTCATCCTGAGACCAGGTTCCTCCCATCTCATTGCTGTACCATCCCATACAGTCTCCTTATCCACGTGGTAGGAGAAGGCTTACTAGCAACTCATTCAGTCCAACTGCAGGAAGGAAGACAGAGGAAGTAGAGGGCAAGGAGAGTGCTTTTCAGATGTGACCTGGAAGTTGTACCCATCACTTCTGCTGACATCCCATTGGCCAGTGATTAGTCACATGGCCACTCTGACCTGCAAGGGATGCTGGGAAATGTCTCCAGCTGGGGTGCCATGTGCTCAGATAAAGCTCCAGAAAAAAATGGAGAGAACAGTATTTACTATTTTTTAATCATTCCTCCACATCTGATCTCTTGATGAGCCACCATTTTTAAAAATAATTTATTTTATTTTTGGCTGCATTGGGCCTTCGTTGTGGCGAGTGGGGGCTGCTCTTCGTTGCGGCGCGTGGGCTTCTCATTGCGGTGGCCTCTCGTTGCGGAGCATGGGCTCTAGGTGCACAGGCTTCAGTAGCTGTGGCACGCAGGCTCAGTAGTTGTGGCTCGCAGGCTCTAGAGTGCAGGCTCAGTCATTGTGGCACATGGGCTTAGTTGCTCCGCAGCATGTGGGATCTTCCCGGACCAGGGCTCAAACCAGTGTCCCCTGCATTGGCAGGCGGATTCTTAACCACTGCACCACCAGGGAAGTCCCCAAGCCACTATTTTTTATTCCATCTATTGTCGTGCTTCCAATTCTTCCCTTTTTTCCCAGGCCACCTGTACTAGTCACTTTTATACATTATCTCTATCACTCTTTATAAAATCCTCTTCATTTTACATGTGGAAGATGAAGTTCAGATAGGATAGGCAATCTACCCAAAGTTCAGAGGGTTGAGAAAGGATCCAATATTTTGGGTCCAGAACCATTTGGGGTTCTACTTTGCGGGGGGGGGTGTTCTGCTTTTTAATGATAGAGATTGGATTGTATTTCTCTAGGACTTTAAAAAATCTTACCTTGTTGAGACATTTCTTTGGGAGTTTTTAGGAGAGGGTTGCAGTGCTACCAACATATCCTTGAGGGTTGAAGAGCTCTCCTTTACTTGAGAACATCAACCTCTTGATCAAATGCATAATCCCTGGGAGAGACATAAATTGGCATGTGACCAGCCAGCCAGATCAGGCAAGTCTTTGGTGATTCCTGGGGTTGGCAGGCACATGCCAATGAGTCCCATCCTGGTATAATCCCTTCCCCTTGTGTGGGAGGAAACTGTGATTTAACTTTAGCAAATAGAATACAGCAAAGGTGACGGGTGTCACTCCCACGATTACCTGAGATATACTGTCTGAGGCAGAAAACATCAAGGCGCTTGGTGTAACCCCCAGACCCCTGAGTGGCCAACTCCCTATCAGCTCCAAGGTCACCTCATCCGAACGACCTTCTGTGGCTCTGCCATCCAAAGCAGATCTCCTCCAGGTGACTCATCATGCCTGCATCCTGTTTTGTTACCTCCATTGCATTTATCATCCTTCTGAAATTACCTAATTATTCAGTTTGCTTGCTCTGCCCCGAATCCCCATCCCCTTCCTTCAGATATAATCCCCGAGGGCAGCGCTCTGGTCTCCTCAGTACTGTATCGCCTGTGTGTCGTAGTGTCTGGCACACACTAGGTGTTCAATGTGTATTTTTCTGAACGAATATGAAGCAGAACAGCAAAACACAAAAATCAGAGCTTCCCTGGTGTGAGCTGGGGTCCGGGGGCTGGGATCCCTGAGCCTTGGTGGTTTCCTATCTCCATGGTCATTTCTGCAACACCTGCCTGGAATCTTTGGGCCCCACAAATCCAGTTCAGACACCCCTTCCTGAATCAGATTAATACCTGCTAGTGAATCTAAACCACCATTCATTGAAAGATACTCCATTATTTTAAGTTCCACTAAGGAAGAAAAAGATACTGCCAATCAAACCATGACACCTCATCAATAGAACACATCCTGATCCATGTTAAAACATGCTGTTCAGCCTTCAGGTCAGTTCAAGCATTACTTCCTTATCACCCCCTGCTGGCCAACTTAGCCCATTTTTCCTTCTATACTCTCATCACTCTCATTTCTTCAAAATATGCATTGCAATTTTAATTATTCTATAATCATTTGTTTAAAATTTGTCCCTGACACTAGAATGAAGGCTGCATGAACACAGACATTACTTTGGCTTATTTACTGTGGTGCTGATAAATCAACTCTCTGGAAAAAAAAAATAGCATTTGTCAATTTCCATGGTGTAAACAATCTCACCACAGCCAATGCCAAGCTACTGACAGCTTAATGACCGATTTGCAACAGTCTCGAATGTTTAACAATTAGCTCTTGTGAGCTGGTACTAGCATGCTCCAGCACACAGTTGACCCAGACCAGATTCTCCCTGTACATAATAGAAGCTCAATAAACAATTGGTTAGTGAATGGCTAGACCATCGTTGAATCACACTGAATGGACATGTAGCAAGCACTCCAGACTTCACACATCTGCACAGAGCTCTTCATTTATCCTCCACACCTGCATCTTCCCCAGTTTTCACCCCACTTAGTGGCATTGTCATCCATGAATCAGGACAGAATCCTAGAAGGCATACTGTATGGCCAGGCCACTCAAGGTGGCTGTTTTCTTGCTCTCTCTACATCCCTGCTGGACCAGTGCCTGCATCACCTACACTCACGCACATGACTGACTTTCCTACACTTGCCCCAAGCCCCAGCTGATGATTGTTCTTATCAAACGGGCCGTGAGGGTCGTGCTCCTCTGCTGGTTTCCCTGGTAACCAATGAGCCCACCTGATGTTAATTCCCCCATAACTGGCAATCTCCCCTTCCTCGCCACGGAGTGAAGACACCATATCCTGCCCGCCATCTGCCACACACGGTGAGGTGTTGCTTCAGACGTGTAAGCGCCCCAACCCATTAAACCATTGATGTCTCTGTTGCTGACTCCGGGCTCTTTCTTCGGTCTTGAGGCCGGGCAAGTTCAGGCCTTGAGGCCTGTGGGGTGCAGCCCAACAACTGGCAGAGCCAGCCAGCAGACCGAGGAAACTCCTGTGAGCATCAAGATGTCGGGAAATACAGGATGGGAAATGGAAAGTTGTGGGGGCTGTCCGCTCACATGTGGGGCCCAAAGGTTTCAGGGGTGATCCTGAATGTTGCAGGGGAAATCCCAGGGTGGCTGTCCACTAGTATGCAGGGCCCTGTGGTGGCTGTTGATAAAAGAAATGTTCACACGTTGAGATACAGGGAAGTCATTCAGGCTTATACCTGAGTTAACTTGAATGTTATGCTACTTAAAATAGCCTGTTTGTGGCCTGTCGTATATACGTTGTACATCTGCTTTAATTATTTAAGGGCACACTGACCAGAAGTAAAGAATGTCCATGTTAAAAATAAAGATTAAGTGCCTCTCTTCCTTTTCCTCCTTTAATGATAAAGACTCCCTTCCCGGGTGCCAAGGCCATACTGACTCGCTGTGTATGTGCTGATCTGTTTGGTTTTTTTTTGAAACGTTGAAGAAATATAACCCTGACTTGTTTAATGTTCTTTGTTCTGACAATATATAAAACTGCTGAAAACTGGAGCAGCTTCTCAAGAGTAATCTGGGAAGATGGCTTTCAGGTTGGCCCTCAGTTTGGCTTATAAAAATAAAAAGTCTTTTCTATAATAAACAAAACTCTTTCCTATTCTTCTACAGATTATTATTTTCATTAACATTGCTTTGGTGTAGTTAGCAGGATATCAGAAGAACCCACCTGAGGTCACCTGGGGTCTACTTTAGACCACGCTTGTAACAAGCATGGGCCCCTTGAGCCCCTCTGGCTTCACAGCACCCTTCAGGTGATTTGGTGAGTTTTTCCTGATACCTGGGTCTCCTTATATTAAGTGATGGTCCATGACTTTTATTTGAGCTGTTATCTTAAGACTTGGAGTCTTAAGAGGGTGCCAGTAGGTGTCCTAGGCAGAGGACCTGGGGGAAGGTCCAGGCAGGAAGGCCTGGAAGGAATTTTGCAGTGAACTGGGTTGGCTGACTTTTTAAATGTGGCTTAAAATTGGAAATTTAAATTTAGATTTGC